CGTGTGGGAGTTCGACGTAGATTTCGGCGTCAACAGGTGCGTAAAGGAATGCATTGGCGACGTCGATTTGCCGCAGTTTCTTTTTCTTCATAGCAGCGATCGCGAGAAGAATCCGTAGTGAGGTGTGTCGACTGACCGAGGCGAATGTCTCGGTGAAATCGCGTCCGTGCTCTTGGTCGAAGCCGCGTACGACCCATCGTGCCTTGAACTTGTCAATGGTGCCGTCTGCTTTCGTCTTCACACGGAAGACCCACTTCCCGGTGAGTATTGTCTTGTTTCGTGCCACGCCGATAGGGACCACTTTCCAGGTGTTCCGCTCCTTCAGTGCTTCGAGTTCCTTATCCATGGCTTCACGCCATTTTTCCCTATGTTCCCCCCCCAGAGCCTGCTGAACTGTGGCAGGCTCCTTAGGAGTTTCGGTGCCGTGGACCGTGGTGACTAGGCCGAGTATCTGAAGGCCACTCTGTGTGTAGCGGGGGAGAGTTGTGTCCGCGGGATAAGCTGCTTCGTCGCCTGTTTCTGGGTCAGGTATGAAGTTGGGCCCTATGCGTTCTGCTTCGTTGGTGTTGACTTCTGCAGGTGTAACGTAACCGGTGTCGGCGAAGTTGAAATAAGTTGCGGCGTTGACGCTTTCGCGAGGATTTTCGTCGTCCATCGGGATAGGCATGGAGCAGTATGGGAGTGGTCCTGCTTCTTCTGAGGCGTTATCCACGTTCTGCTCGTCCCAGTCAGCTTCGTCTGCTGCCGAGGCGAAAGCTCGATCACCACGGAAACCACCTGTGGGGTCCCGGTCTTCTGTCAGGTTGGCAAGGTATGTCGGAAGGGTGAGTCGTTCGTAGAAAATGACATCACGTGCTGCTACTGTTTCTTTGGAGTGGACGCCGAAAATCTTCCACGCGTTGTAATTTCTTTCGATGCCCAGGTGTAGTCCCCATTGTGCGCGTTGGGAAAATCGGCCGGCTCGTGCAGATGGGGGTCGGTACTGTACCATGCATCCGAAAACCCTTAACATTTTTGTGCTGCCCTGTTTTCCTGTCCACAGCAGGTGCGGTGATGCGTTGTTCGGCAGTGATGACGACGAAAGCAAGTTGTGCAGCATGACAGCATGGTCCATCGCTTCAGGCCATTGGTGATTGGGCAGTCGCATGCCACGCAGTAATTTGCGCATGGTGTTCTGGAGAGTTCGATTCATTCGTTCCGCCACGCCTTGCTGTTGATGGGCGTAAGGAAGCAAGATGAGCCTCTTGATTCCCCTTTCTGCCAAGAACTGCTTGAACCTCTGTGAGGTGTATTCTCCTCCTCCGTCTGACTGAAAGCTTTTCAGTTTCAGGCCCGATTCTCGTTCTGCTACTGGGAGCCAAGCGATGAAGGCTTCGAAAGCCATGTCCTTGCTCGGAAGGTTGAGGTGCCAAACGTAACGCGTAGCGGCATCGATGAACGTGATGGTGTAGCTGTATGCTCCTTGTCCAGGTTCGCGATTGTACAGGATGTCGCTGTACACTTTCTCAAGTGGTGCGTAAGCTGGTGCGCTGGGGTTGTGGTGAGAAGTGAATGGCCGATGTGGTAAGTCAGCTTCGGGGCAGGTAAAGCACGTTCCACGAGCTCGTCGAAGTTCGCTTCCATCGGTTAGGAGCAGTGAATCTTTGTCGAGTAATCCTGCTCTGATTGTGTTGTTTAACACCGTGTTGCTTGGATGTCCCATTCGTGCGTGCCAGATGTCTTCGCTAGCGCGATGTCCGGGTGAGCGACGATACAAGTCGGAGTTGGAGTAGAAGCTTGCGGTGAAATTTGCACTTCGATGTACTTCTCGTGATTTTGGATGAAGCTGTTGCGCAGGAGTCGGTGGAGTATCGTCAATTTGAGTCGATGTAGTTGAAGGACCAGCGATTGGTGTCGATGTTGCTGCTGCTGCTGTTGTTTCTGCTGCTGCCGATGTTGTTTTTGCTGCTGCCGATGTTGTCTCTGCTGCTGCCGATGTTGTCTCTGCTGCTGCCGATGTTGTCTCTGCTGCTGCCGAGTGTTGAATTGTTGCTAATGCTCGTGTTCGTTCTGCTTCAGGGATGGTGTGTGAGTACCAGAAGCCTTCTGGACTGAAGTCGGGGTCAAGATCCGGTGGATGTGTCCAAGAGGTGAAGGTGACGATCCCGTCGCTGTCGGCAGTGCTAAGATCTGGGACGAAGTCGAGGACGAAAACGTTGTTTTTCAGGACCGCTTTCCCGATGTAGAGACCGCCTTTCCCGTGGTACAACTTGAACTCCTGAGTGGTACTATTTGCTTCGAGGTGGATGCCCTTCGCCATCAGTTGACTGACGCTCAGTAGGTTGTAACCGAGCCCTTCTGCTATTAGAACCTTTGACATCTGCAGTATGACGTTTGTCTCTCGTGACTGAAGTTGTACTACGCCTTGTCGTCGTGTGCGCAGGTTCTGATTGTTGGCGACGGTGATGACAACCTCGCGTTGAAGTTGGTGTTCACGTTGAACAAAACGTCCTGAAGAGCACATATGCTGTCCACAGCAGCTGTCTAAGAACCACGTATCTTTTCCGGACGGCTCGCTTTGAGCGATGGCTGCATAAGTCGGATTTGGTTGAAGTGACTCGCGGCGAGACGTGCTGTTGTCAAGCTGCTCTTCCGGTGAGTAATATGGTGGTGACTCTGTGATGCAAGAGTCGGTCAGTCGTGTCATGCAACTGACGATGTTTCTTGTTCCTTGCGCAGGTTGTCCCGTCGATGTTGTTGAGACTTGTACTTGAGAGATTGGATTTGCTTGCGTTGAGGCAACTTGACTGCTTGAAGGTCGAAACTGCCGCTGCTTTAGTACTGACTGTTGTTGGTTAGGGCAGTGTGTGTGAGGATGCCCTGACATCTTGCAAAGGTGACAGAATGGAGGTACTGGTTTCGGTTGATGACGATAGTTGTTGTTGTTGTAGCGCCGTTGAGTGTGGAATGCGAATTCGGGCACTAATGTCTTCCTTTTTTGTCGTTCTTCTTGCAGGTCCATATCTTGCTGCTCAGCGTGGATCTCGGCGCAGAGTGCTGCTTCTGATATTTTTCCGTGGGCTCGGAGTATGGCGGGAGTTGAGCGCCACTGAGGACCGAGGCCGCCGATGATGACTGGGACGAAGGCGTCTTCTGAAATTGACCCTCCGCATCGAAGGAGTTTGTCGTGCAATTCGCGACAACGGCTGATATACGCCATCCCCTTTTCGCCTGGTTTCATTTCGACGGTCGTCAGTTGCGCCATTAACCGACTTTGATTTACGCTGTCTGTTGCTTGATACAGGTTCTTCAGGTGGTTGTACGCGAGCTCTGCAGAGTTGCCGTATCCCCGGTAAGACCGTATATTCTGCTGCTGATTCGGAGTGATATTTCTCAGTAGTATTGTGTACGCCATCATTGACTGATACGTGTACTGCTGCTTGTCGTACTGTGTGTCGTGTGTTGGATATGGCAGGGACCCGTCGAAGAAGCCAAGGATCTGCGCGCCTTCCATCATTAGCTCGAACTCGAATGACCAGGTAAAGAAGTCCTTTCCGTCGAAAGGCCTTGTCGTTTGTAGTTTTAAGACGTGCGCGAACTGCGACTGAACTTGAAGTGCGTCCTGTGTCTTTTCTTGTCCAGATGCGGGCTGCGGGTGTGGCATAAAGCTGACGGAGCCACGCTGGGGCTCGTACGGAGCAAAGGTAGGCCGTTGCTGTTGATTTCCACGTGCGTAGGATGAACCGTCGAGGCTCATCGGTGTTGCGTTGTTGCTGTTGTTTGACTGTGCGGGTGCCCCTTGCTGGTGTTGTTCGTAGAAGGACATGAAGGAGAAGAACTTCTCCATCATGTCAGGATCGAAGGCTGCGGCTTGATTTGCGGGAGTTTCTGAAGACGTTGCTCTTGGCTTTGTTGCCGTACCCTCCTCTGTCTGTAGGCCAGAGGCAGGAGGTGGAGTAAGAGTAGTACCGGGAGAGCCGTTAGAGGAGCTTCTCTCCTTCTGCGTTGCCATGTCATGTGATGTTGTAGGTGTCTTTATCGTAGTTGAATTTGTCCTGACCGCTCTCATACCATGTTGGGCTGAGAAAGCCCTTAGAGCGTATTCCTATCCTCGTATCAAGAAAACCTCATATCAAGATTGTACTTTTTGCCTGGTAAAAGTAGCGAGAGGTTTTGGGTTTAGGGAAATTTTCAGTGGGAGGTTGATATGAGGTTTTCTTGATACGAGGATAGGAATACGCTCTTAGGATCTTTGCAGGACATAATTCAAGGGTAGGACAATGTAATAGCGGAAGCGTTAATAAAAGGATTGTGAACCACCTTGCGCTGGTATGTGAGGGCAAAGTTGATTGATTAAAGCAAAGAGATACAAGCTTTTATAAGGATACAGGGAATATGAAAGGATACGGTTAATAACCGTTTTACTGTTGCTGTTGCGGTTCGATACAGTGTCGACTCGGGCAACTGCTCAGTATCGAGACATTTGTTTGTCCTTGCTGTCGCGCTGCATTTGTCAGGTCAAAGGTCGCTGACCTTTGACTTTCGCGTAACCTCCAGCAGTTGTTCAACCTCCGAGGGTTGACTCGCTGATGTTTCGATATGATCTGCTTCGCTTCTGTCTTGGTATTTCGACACGACAGAGGCGCTTAAATCAATTGTTTCCAACAGAGTGAAACACACAATTTGGTGTCTTCAATTTATAAATTCGTATATGTCATTATATAAGCGCATGCGCTTATAAAAAATGACTCAATTAGAAGCGCACCCCCTAAAAAACATTGTTTTATTATAAGCGCACCTGCGCTTCTATCCGGGGTGATACGGTATTACCTTGCTATAATCAATCTCTTGCTCTCACACACTAGTGCAAGGTGGTTCGGCAAGATTACTATACGCTTCCGCAATAACAACATCTCTACCCAAAGTCTTAGCCTTGAAAAGATCCTAAGGGCTTGTTTTCAGCCCAACACAAGAAACTACAACCTCCACTACCCACACCACCCATGTCCCATGTATCATGCTCAGCAGTAGGTGCAGCCACCAACACGGTCACGTGGAATAAGCCGAAGATCAGAACCATGCTTCAAGAACACGTTGCCTGGGTGACAAGAAAGAACAAACAGCAAACAGTGCACATGATATGAATGAGGGTGGCGAGTGGGAATTGCGACAGGGAGGTCATGTCATGGCAGATGTGAACAAATATGGATACATAATCTGTGCCAGCCAGAGGTCACAGCTGTCAGGTATCTAGCACGTGTGTGATCGCATTATCAGTTGAGAGGGAGTGGGGCAAGAATATGGTTCAAGGGATAATGATTTCAAGGATATTCTGGAAGGAAGGCAAGGGGTAGGGTGGGACGGGAAGAGATAGAGACTCACCAGCACTCTGTTGAGGATTGATACCCACTCCATCTGCATGTTCCACCATCAGCACAAAGAGCACCAGCACACAAGGAAGTGAACGATGAAGAATGGCAAGGAAAAGAACAAGCTGAGGAGAAATGGAGAGGAGCTTGTTGCAGAACCACCACGGAAACAAGGAGAAACAGCCTTTCAAGAGATAAAGTGGAAAGCGCCACCTCAAGCCACAGAGATGCTAACAAGTATGCAATCACAACAACTTGATCATGAAAGCAACAATGACTGATCATTCGGACTGCTTCGTGTCAGCAAGTTATGAGAAGGGTGCGTCGAGCGGTGGCGAGCACGAGCATGCAGGCGGGTGGTGTGTATAAAGCGGCAAGCAAAGAGAAAGAGAGCTGACCGTTGGTGATGATGGCACTGGTCTGTGGCGGCACTTTGAACTCCTCCGCAGCGAACTTGAGCACCGCTGTGAAGGGCGCCTCCTCTGGCACGTTGAAGCTGCTCGTGGGCACCAACAGATAGGGAGGAAAAATAAGGGGGGCGGAGGAGTGGGAAGGGAGGGAAGGGGAGGAGGGGTGTTGAGGAGGCGAGGAGGGTGAGAGGGGGGAATGAAGTGGCTAAGGGGGCGACAGAAGGTTATAGAAGGAGGAAAAATTATGCAGCATATAGGGCATGCCATAGCAGGACCGCGCGGCTGAGCCTCTGTAGTGGCAGCTGATGAGCATCACGTAAGTACACACACTTAGAGGCTGCACGGGAGCACGTGATTGGCACATGTGAGCCTGCCTTGTAGCGAGCTACGAGAGGAGAGGGCAGGAAGGGAGGGACGGAAAGGAAGAAGGGGAGGCAGCGACAGGAGATGTGAATGGTATACGGCGCCACGCCCTGCGCGGGTCATGGCGGGCGGTGCTGCCATGCGCACGATCATGATCCACGCGGGACGCGGCTATCAGCTGGCTGCAGAGCAGGAGGGAAGCTAGTGACGCAATCCAGCCGCCGAGTCTGGTGCCTGAAGCGAACACCACACGCGCGACCGTCACGGCCTTGGTGGCACTAGGGGGAACAGAGGGCGCGTGCCAGGGCGGATCGAAGCCCTTTACGCACTGCATTACACTTACACTTTATAAGGTAGCTTCGGGTCTGACGTCAGCGTGACCTTGAACGACACTTTGCCTCCTGACCTGCCGGCACCAGACGCGCGGGAAGTGGCGCATGTGGAGGCGGGAAAGCGGGAAAGAGCTGGTGAGCGGAACGTTGCGAACAAACGAGAACAAGAACCACAAGAGGGAGATGCGCAGGAAGAAAATCCGCAGGTGTGGGAGGGAGAGGGGGAAGTGGGCAAAAGGGGATGGAAACAATCGGAATAACTGGGAAACAGGTATGTAGAGTGGAAACGGGGAACAAAGAAGAAGAAAGACTATGGATGATGAGATGAGAGAGACCAGCGGGATTGGATGGTGGGAGGACAAGAGGCTAGAGTACACACGTGGCATAATCGCACCACAATTGAGCGTGGCGGGCAAGTGGGGCCCATCAGACACGGCTACTTACATGATTCAGCAAGACTCTCAGGAAAGCTGCTCTGCTCGTACGACTTAATAGTTGCTGATTCGATCAATGCGTGACGAGTCACTCAGATCGGAGGTATAGCTTCTGCGTGGAGGCTGTGGTTGCGGGAACTTCGAGGTATCGTGAAAGCCGAAGTGGAAGTGGGTGGTGGGTGATGGATTGGAGCTTCAGCGTGCGGGAGACTGTCAAATCTGGTTGGACTCCGTGGAGGATTTATTGCAGCTACACTACAAGCATGGCTTCGATAGCATAAGTATTTCTAAACACATCGCAGTACAGTCGCTATTTGAAAGTTAAATTGCGTGACAGAATTGCACAAGCGTTTCATCTCAACTGTTTACTAGGTCGTGGCGTCATTACATAGCAAGCATTGAAATGCCAGCTTGTTTTCTTCCATAACAAGCAGCTAGACATAATTGCTGGCCAACTTATACACACCAGCAGTCAGCAGCATGCTACCAAAGAAAGCACTTAGAACAGAGCTGGCTGATGGGTGAAAATGGTATGGCAGCGAAGAGTGCAGGTGTTGCTGCAAGATGGGTGCTTAGATCTCAACCTGCTCGCGCAGCCGACGAATGGTACTGCGCACCGTCACAGCAGCCGCCGTGCTGTTCAGAGAGGGCAGTAGAACAGATCAGGAAGGAAATGTAAGGGATATGCGTACTGATCAACGATGCTAAACTATGTACCACTAAGAGAGACAACAACAGGAAACAAGAAAACACAAGCAGTTGACAGAAACCATACTTGAGCACATAAGCGCCGCCTGCCTTGGTCTTGTTGCAGTGCTTGCAGTGCCAGATGCCAACCACTTGACGCTTCACAGAGAACTGCAGGTTATCAACAGCATGCATACGCCCTCACTCACACGCCCAGCACACATACAGAAAAAGAGACGGACCAATCATCCGGCACAGAGAGGCAGACGCAGACAGACCGACACAGAGACACACACACACGGAGACACACACACAGACACAGGCACAGACAACACACACACACGCACACACATACACACACAGACAACACACACACACACTCACACACACACACGCACGCACGCACCCATGCACGCACAGAAGCACGCAGCACACACGGAATGCACAGACAGTCATTGAGTTCACACACAGTCATCCACCACAACCATCCACGTTGGGCTACCCACTTAACGTTTAGCATGCACATCATTGGCTAGCCATACAGGAAGGTGGTTGCACAATGCGGCAGAGGTTCGTACGATATGGGCATGCTAAACCCGCCAACGCCACTGCGCAGATAGACCTTCGAAACAAAATCGAGAAATCTAGGCGCCTTTTCTGATCGAAACTCTTTGGTGGAGGCTAACCCAAACCCGCTGTCCAGCTGCTAGGCACAGAAGGCCTGTATAAAGCTTTGTGATCAGCTTCAAAACGTGTGACGCCAAAATAAAAAGAGCCCCATTTTCACTAACCAACACCCCTGACCCGGACGCTAACATCCGTGCACTCCTGAAGGCTGAACACCGCCAGCCTTCGGAATCAGAAGGTAAATTCATGAGTACAAAAGGCACCCGTTAACCTGTATAATGTGAGACGGACACGGCTGCAACAACATAGCACAGCTGCAAGATCTCCTGAACACGTCGCCGCCTGGTGGTCATGCCGAAGCAATCTGGGGGAGTTTCCAATCATAGAAGGGGGACGAGTAGGCAGCAGCCGCGTACCTTGCCGCAGAACTCGCAGAAGTATTTAGCGTGTTGGCTGACTTCCATCTTCTTCACCTGCTTCCGCAGACTGGCACCATATCGGGTACCTGAAGAATGGTCGACGAACAGGGAAACCGGATCGGGTACACTCTTTAACTAAGTCGTATCCATTCAACCTTCTTGTGTATCAGGACTCCAAATGCAGCAAGTGACGGAAGCTAATGAACAATAAGCGGCTTGTTGACACGCCAAAAAGCTCTTGCATCCACATATGGACAAAACGAATGAGAGGCAAAACCAGTTGTTGGAAGCACCTACCGTACTTGCCGACGATCCCAGCCTTTTTCGTCCTCTTCGTCTGCCATAGACAATGAAACCCCAATTGTCAGGATAAAACTAATAGCGCAACAGAGTAGACCCAGCAGGAATCGCCCATTTCGTAAAAAACTTGAGCGACTATTTTGATAACATAAGCGAAGCCTTGAGACCCGGTCCATAATTGAATGATCATGACCTTTCCGCGAATCAGCCATGGCTCTAGGGTGGTATCACAGGCACAAAACAACCTACCATCTTAACGGCGAGCCGCGCCTAAACGTTCTAAGGTTTAGTGCCTGTGTCACGTCCTCTCGGAGGACGATGCGGGGCCTTGAGCAGGATAGAGGGGGAGGAGGGAGGATGAGGATGGAGCAGGGGAGGTAATAGGGCGAGACGGACAGAGGGGCGAGGGAGAGAGTGCGTGAAAATTTAGGCGGGAGATGGGAGCGAGGAGTTGACGCTGGGTGATTTCGTGAATAAGGTCTTCTCGTAATCATGTTGCCGCTGGTTTTGGGGCTGCGACATCCTTCATGTCTTCGAGGTGCCTGATGCCATTAAAAGATATAACTGAAAGGTGAGGCTGCACTCAGGCGACAAGGTAATGGGGATGGGAAAATCAGGTGTTATGTTATTTTTTCTGGTGTACCATATCGCACCAGCTAGCTTGCAAATTGTATGCACAGCTTGTTGCATATCGGTTAATCTTCTTACACAGCAATCTGAACCTGGGGCAATCATCGTTTAATTTACAGTATATCCATACAGAGTCTAGCAGTGATGAGGATGTACATTAGTTGAGAGAATGTATAGTGTATTGTTTAGATGATATTTTTTCAATGCTTTAGCCAGTCTAATCAGCACAGTCCACATTGACTGGGAGGCTACGAAGTAAGATGGCAAGAGTTAAACCCTAAGGGCAATCATTTAATGGGTTTCACAACACATACATCAAAAACTAAGGTGGCTCCTTTAACCATGCATCGACCAATCAAGGGAGAAGCAGTTCAGAAGGCCCCAATGCACCTACTCCCGCCAATAATTGTGGCTGGTGGAGAGTCTGCAAGAATGTCGGAGTGAACTGGAGTGAGGGATGGACGGGTGCAATGCTAGGGAGGGATCCAGCGAAACATGAACACCAGACGCTGTCTGCATGCAGTGCAATTTCAGCCCCACCCACCACCACACACTATTCCCGCCTCGGCCATGATACGCCTAGGTTCTCATCCCCCATCCCAAGGGCCACAAGGTAGTACCGTATCATCCCTGTCCCACACCCTTGTGCATAAGAGCACCCATCTTTCGCACATGGAGCAGCAGCAGCAACCTCACATCTCAATATGAAGCGCTCATGAAGAGAGTAGAGACAGAGAGAGGGAGAGGGAGGAGAGAGAGAGGGAGAGGGAGAGGGAGGAGAGAGAGAGGGAGAGGGAGAGGGACGAGAAGCTGCCCAGGGGCGCAGCTGTCCCATGGCCTTTTGAGTCTCAAATGTGAAACCCTGAACCCTCTCCCAGCACAGGTGCGAGCATTGCAGGCGTCAGTCCAGGAAGCTGTCGCGGGGGCGCAGCAGCCTCTTCATGAACTCATAGGTCATGAAGGCGATGCTGACCCCCGGCACCACCTTAGCATACTCGGGCACGATGCCACGGTATAGTGCCTGCCACCCCTCGGTGCGCACGACGTGCGCCAGCATCTGCGGGATGGTGCGCCGCTGTGAGGGCTGCCGGCCCCCTGCTCCCTCCAGCTGCATGCGCCGCCGCACCAGGTCCAGCGGGAACGTGGCTGCAGCGTTTGGGGATCAAAGGAGGGTGGGGAGGAGGGGAAGTGAGCAGGGGAAGAGGTGAGAGAGAGAGAGAGAAAGGAGAGGAGATGAATGGAAGGGAGAGAGTAATGGGGCAAAGGTTGGGAGAACAAAAGAGGTAAAGAGAAGGAGAGGGAGAGAGGAGGCGGAGGGGAGATGCAAGGAGGAGTGGACCTGAGGAGGAGCAGATGCCAGCGAGGCTGCCACAGCCGAGGGAGACGAGAGGCACAGGCATCTCAGGGTGGCGGCGCACCCAGTTGGCCTTCACCGTCTCATACACACAGAAGTTGATGGCCAGATTGGGGCCCACGCCCTGGGATGGACAGGCAGGCAGGTCAGCGGAGGGAAAAGGAGGGGAGGGGCGGGGAAGGGAGGGGAGGGGGTGGTGCACAAGGGTGCATAGCAGGAGGAAATTAGCATGTGACTTTCAAGAGCAGTCGCTTTGCCATCCTCGCCAGCAGCACATACCACCACCACCATGAACGCCATCAACAGCCACAGCAGCATGAGCATGGGCATGGGCATGAGCACGGGCATGGGCATGGGCATGGGCATGGGCATGGGCATGGGCACACTGATGAGAAAGATCATGATGGAGAACACGAGGCATGTAGTAGTGCACGTACGAGGAGAGTGGCGCCCATGCCCTTGTAGAGCCCCAGCAGACCCTCATCGCGCACGATGGTGCTCAGCGTGCCCACTATGCCCTTGTAGTACCGCGACTTGGTCTGCCCCCACAGGCACGGCGAGAGGCGGGGCGGCAGGGAGAGAGAAGAGGGGGCAGGAAGAAATACGAAAGGAGTGGCGGAGATGGAGGGGAGGGGAGGGGAGGGGAGGAGAGGGGAGGGGAGGGGAGGGGAGAGGAGGGGAGGGGTGTAGAGTGGCAAGGGGCGTGCAGGGCGTGCACGGGAGAGGAGAGGTTGCGCATTGTGAGGTGAAACTATGGTGATTTGAAGTATTGTCAAAAGAGACTCAGGTATATTTTTTTAAGGAGTGTAAGGGTCACAGCATGATGGGGTGGCATGGAGCATGCGGCAAGGCCATCACAGCATAGTGGGTTGACGGAACAGGCAAGGGCAAACACAGAAGACAGTTAAGGAAACCTTGGTCAGCAAACAAGTGAAACGCTCCTTAGGAACACTCACTCACCCACCCACCCACCCACTCACTCACCCACTCGCTCACTCACCAACCCACCCACTCACCCACCCACTCACTCACCCAACCACTGACACACCCAACGACTCACTCACTCACTCACCCACACCAACCCACCCACCCACCCACTCACCCACCCAATCACTCGACCGCCCACCCACTCACCCACACACCCACTCTCTCGCTCACTCGCCCGCCCACCACGCACCCACCCATCACGCACATGCCATGCCAGTCGCACACAGCACCAACCCCACCTGAGCAGAAGGCGCGTGCGCACGAGGGCAAGCGGGTACGTGATGGTGGCCGCAGTGCACCCCGCACCCCCAACTCACTCATTCAACTCACCCACCCACTCACTCACTCAACTCACCCACTCACTCACTCAACTTACCCACTCACTCACTCAACTCACCCACTCGCTCACTCAACTCACCCACTCGCTCACTCAACTCACCCACTCGCTCACTCAACTCACCCACTCGCTCACTCAACTCACCCACTCGCTCACTCAACTCACCCACTCGATCACTCAACTCACCCACTCACTCACTCAACTCACCCACTCACTCACTCAACTCACCCACTCGCTCACTCAACTCACCCACCCACTCACTCACTCAACTCACCCACTCACTCACTCAACTCACCCACTCGCTCACTCAACTCACCCACTCGCTCACTCAACTCACCCACTCGCTCACTCAACTCACCCACTCGATCACTCAACTCACCCACTCGCTCACTCAACTCACCCACTCGCTCACTCAACTCACCCACTCGCTCACTCAACTCACCCACTCGATCACTCAACTCACCTGAGCAGCAAGGCGCGTGCGCACGAGGTCAAGCGGGTACGTGATGGTGGCCGCAGTGCACCCCGCACCCCCTCCCGCCAGGAACTTCACCCCCATGTCCACCACCCCCCTCCGCGCCGCCTGCCACCCCTGCTCATGCTGCTGCTGCTGCTGCTGCTGCTGCTGCTGCTGCTGCTGCTGCTGCTGCTGCTGCTGCTGTTGGTGTTGCTGGTTTGGTTGCAGTGCGTGGTGTGCGTGGGTGGGCGGGAGGTCAGGGCTGGGGAAGGAATTGGCCGCCATGGTTTCAAGCATCTGGGGGGGGGAGTGTGAAGAGGGGGTGGGAGCGGAAAGCGTCAGATGCATTTCTGTGAGTGCTAAGGGATGGTTCTAAGTGAGGGGTAGAAGAGAAAACGGTCATTTAGAACTTTAAGACATGGCTCTTTTTCAGCGGGAGGAGAGGAGAGGGTAGGGGGTTGTTGGGTTATGATGGGACACGACAAAAGGGTGAAGATGAATGGAAGGAGGTAGGGTGGAGAGGAGTGATGGAGTGTCAAGCAACGTGAGAGAGGGTGGAGAGTGAGAGAGGGACTCCATGAGTGAGAATGTTGAAGTCGGGCGTGAGAGAGGGTGGGAGTGAGAGGGTGGGGATTGAGAGAGGGTGGGGAGTGAGAGAGGGTGGGGCGTGAGAGAGGGTGGGGCGTGAGAGAGGGTGGGGAGTGAAGATAGGTGAAGTGAGGAGGTTGGGAATTAAGAGAGGGTGGAAGTGAGAGGAGGGAAGCGAGAGGTGGAAAGTGAGAGAGGGGAGGGAAGTGAGGGAGGGAGGGAAGTGAGAGTGGGAGGGAAGTGAGAGTGGGATGGAAGTGAGAGAGGGAGGAAAGTGAGAGAGGGTGGGGAGCAAGAGAGGGAAGGAAGTAAGAGAGGGGAGGGAAGTGAGAGGTGGGAAGTGAGAGAGGGGAGGGAAGTGCGGGTAAGAGGGAGGGATGTGAGGGAGGGAGAGAAGTGAGGGAGGGAGGGAAGTGAGAGGGGGAGGGAAGTGAGTGAGGGGAGAAGTGAGGGAGGGAGAAAAGTGAGAGAAGGACCAAGCTATGCCATGTCATGCCAGACCGGCACTAGGCACGTTTGTCTGTCGGCAGCAGATCCCCCCTGCCCAGCACGCCATCTCCACGAGGGAAGGGTGGGGAATACGAAAGAAGGGATGGCGAGGAGAGGAAGGAAGGGGAGAGGAGAGGAGAGGAGAGGGACGGAGGGGGGCAACTGAGAGGGGGAGGGGAGAAGGGAGGCTGCGAGAGCGCGCGGGCGGGCAGGTGGGGGGTGGGCGGGAGAGCATCTCACGGATTTGTAGCTCTCGTAGGCGAAGAAGTTGATGGCGGAGTAGGGCAGGCGGTGCACGATGGTGACGGTGTTGCCCTTCCAGAACGCCAGCGCGCCCTCCTCCGCCACGATGCGCCGCGCCTCCCCAAAGATGGACGGCCGCCGCCGCGCCGCCGATGCATCGTGCATGCCCTGCACCTGGCGGGGGGTGAGGGTGGCGGGTGTGGGTGGAGAGAGGAAGGGGGGCGAGGGGCGACAGGGGTGAGAGTGATGAGGGGTAATTAGGGCGATGGTGAGGTTCAGATGGCCTCCCCACAGATGGACGGCCGCCTGCACGCCGCTGATGAATCATGCATGCCCTGCACCTGGGGGGGGGAAGAGGGGGAGAAGAGGAGGCGGACGGGGGGTTGTGGAAGGGCGCAGAGGAAAGGAGGAGGTTGGGGAGGGTGGGAATGATGAGGTTGATGGGGGGGGTTGGTGCGGGAGAGATAAGGTGGGGGCTTCCGTGGTTGGGGTGGGCAATGGAGTGGGCGATCGGGTGGGCGGTGGGGTTGGGAATGGGGTGGGGGATGGGGTTGGGAATGGGGTGGGGGATGGGGTGGGGGATGGGGTGGGGGACGGGGTGGGGGACGGGGTGGGGGACGGGGTGGGGGACGGGGTGGGGGACGGGGTGGGGGACGGGGTGGGGGACGGGGTGGGGGACGGGGTGGGGGACGGGGTGGGGGACGGGGTGGGGGATGGGGTTACGGGCCACAGGGGCATGAATCACGGGGAAGGGGTGCACGGGTGTGGGGGGGGAGGAAAGCATGGGGAGGACTCGAGAGGGCTCCAAGGTCTGTTGCTTGTGTCTTGCATGTGGAGAAGAAGAGGATGGCACGAGGTGGGGGGGGGAATTCAATGCGCGAAAGGAGCAGGCATTGCGGAAGCGGGGAAAGGGAGGAGGGTGGGGATGGGGGCTGATGCTGTGAGATGATGACGATGGGGGGATGGACGGATGGAGGGATGGGGAAAGGGTGATGGGAAAGGGAGGATGAGGGGACTGGGAGATGGGAAAGAAGGGGGATGACAATGGGCGAAATAGTGGTGGATTGGTTGGATAGGGATGGGGGGGTTGTGAGGATGGGGATGGAGGGATGGGGCGGGCGAGGGTGCAAAGATGGAGCGGGGTTAGGTCTGGCCAATGGGAAATGGGGCCGGGGATGGGGAATGGGCCTTGACATAAGCATACCTTCACATTCATTCGCACGAAGACACACAAGTACATCCACATGGGTATAAATGGACATGAGCAAACACTGTCTACGCATTCACGCACATGCATGGTGGCATAACCATGCACCTGACCATGCACAGGACATGGATATGAACATCCACATGACGCATCTGAACATGCACCTGACAAGCATCTGACAGAGCACGAGCACCTGACCACCATTGCAACCCACCTGAACAAGCACCTGGCCATGCACCTGAAAAGCCTTACCCAATTGCACATGACCACCTGAACAGCACGTGGCCATGCACTTGAAAAGCACCTCATCAAGCACCTGACCATGAACCTAACCATGGCACATGATCCACCTCACTAAGCACCTGACCATACACCTGGTCATGCACCTGACTATTGCACATGATACACCTGACCATGCACCTGGACCAAGCACCAAGCACCTGATCGTGCACCTGACTGGGCAACTCCACCTTCATAAGCACATGGCCACCCTCCACTGGCCGCCACAAGGCAATCAAGCCCTTACACCCATCGGCACCCGTCTCAACTCCGCCTGAGTGCGGCCTGCACTCTTATCACAATTCCCTACGGCAGCGGGCCAATTCTCGTCAACCCCATCACTCGTACTGTGCGCACCTTCTAAGGGTTGACCCCCCATCACCCCTAAAAATACGCTGCCACTCGTGCCTCCCCTTTCCTGTTCGCATGCGAACTCGCTTTCTTTCTTCAACTTCGCCTTTCCTGTTCCTTTTACAACCTACACTTCTGGGCTAATTTCCAACCCACTTGTGCTTCCTTCCCCCTGCATTTCGTTCACCGCTCTCAACTTCCGTCCATTCTTTTCATTCACCTCCGTTTGAGTCACGAACCTGGAAGAGGATCGTGAGTCGCGCAAGGGGAGCCGTGCACGTTTTACTGACGGCGCCTGCGATGCCGCCCGCCACCAGCTGCCCCACCGTGCTGATCTGCCCCGCCCGCCGCATACGCTTCGCGTACGCCGCCGCCGCCGCGGCCGCCGCAATTTCCTCCTCGTCCTCTAGGCCGTCTTCCTCAGGCCCGTGCCCGTGCCCCAATCCCTCGCCTCGCAACCCTTCCCCGCGCAGTCCTTCCCCTCGCAGTCCTTCCCCGCGCAATCCTTCCCCAAGCAGCCCGTCCCCCCGCAGCCCCTGCTGCGCTTGCTGCAGCCCCATCACGGTCGCTCCGCCCGCGCCCCGTTCGTCCCCCTCTTGCAGCTCCGCCGGAGCCGCGGTGGCGGCAGCGGGGGTTCGCGCGGAAGACACGGCGGCGGCGGCGGAAGCGGCGGGGCGTCGAATGTGCGGAGAGTCCGCGTCTGGCCGGGCGGCAGGAGCTACTGCGACCCCGGTACTGCGGAGCGGAGGCGCGGAATTTGGACGGAAGGGCGGGAGTGGGGGAGCGGAGGGGGAGGGGAGGGGAGGGGAGGGGGAGGGTGAGGTGGAAAGGAGAGGGGCGTGATGCCGAAGATGGTGGTGACGAGGCCGTGAGCACGGCAACTGCGGCAGGAAGCACGAGAGGGAGAAGATTCTAGCAAGCATACGAGGAAGCGAAACACGAGGGCAGGCATGGGCTTGGCGAGGGGCAAGGGAGACAGGAGGGCCACGGGAGGGCCACGGGAGGGCCACGGGAGGGCCACGGGAGGGCCACGGGAGGGCCACGGGAGGGCCACGGGAGGGCCACGGGAGGGCCACGGGAGGGCCACGGAGGGCCACGGGAGGGCCACGGGAGGGCCACGGGAGGGCCACGGGAGGGCCACGGGAGGGCCACGGGAGGGCCACGGGAGGGCCACGGGAGGGCCACGGGAGGGCCACGGGAGGGGCCACGGGAGGGCCACGGGAGGGCCACGGGAGGGCCACGGGAGGGCCACGGGAGGGCCACGGGAGGGCCACGGGAGGGCCACGGGAGGGCCACGGGAGGGCCACGGGAGGGCCACGGGAGGGCCACGGGAGGGCCACGGGAGGGCCACGGGAGGGCCACGGGAGGGCCACGGGAGGGCCACGGGAGGGCCACGGGAGGGCCACGGGAGGGCCACGGGAGGGCCACGGGAGGGCCACGGGAGGGCCACGGGAGGGCCACGGGAGGGCCACGGGAGGGCCACGGGAGGGCCACGGGAGGGCCACGGGAGGGCCACGGGAGGGCCACGGGAGGGCCACGGGAGGGCCACGGGAGGGCCACGGGAGGGGCACGGGAGGGGCACGGGAGGGGCACGGGAGGGGCACGGGAGGGCCACGGGAGGGCCACGGGAGGGCCACGGGAGGGCCACGGGAGGGGCACGGGAGGGGCACGGGAGGGCCACGGGAGGGCCACGGGAGGGCCACGGGAGGGCCACGGGAGGGCCACGGGGGGGTGCCACGGGAGGGCCACGGGAGGGCCACGGGAGGGCCACGGGAGGGCCACGGGAGGGCCACGGGAGGGCCACGGGAGGGGCACGGAGGGCCACGGGAGGGCCACGGGAGGGCCACGGGAGGGCCACGGGAGGGCCACGGGAGGCCACGGGAGGGCCACGGGAGGGCCACGGGAGGGCCACGGGAGGGCCACGGGAGGGCCACGGGAGGGCCACGGGAGGGCCACGGGAGGGCCACGGGAGGGCCACGGGAGGGGCCACGGGAGGGCCACGGTGAGGGCCACGGGAGGGCCACGGGAGGGCCACGGGAGGGCCACGGGGAGGGCACGGGAGGGCCACGGGAGGGCCACGGGAGGGCCACGGGAGGGCCACGGGGAGGGCCACGGGAGGGCCACGGGAGGGCCACGGGAGGGCCACGGGAGGGCCACGGGAGGGCCACGGGAGGGCCACGGGAGGGCCACGGGAGGGCCACGGGAGGGCCACGGGAGGGCCACGGGAGGGCCACGGGAGGGCCACGGGAGGGCCACGGGAGGGCCACGGGAGGGCCACGGGAGGGCCACGGGAGGGCCACGGGAGGGCCACGGGAGGGCCACGGGAGGGCCACGGGAGGGCCACGGGAGGGCCACGGGAGGGCCACGGGAGGGCCACGGGAGGGCCACGGGAGGGGCACGGGAGGGGCACGGGAGGGGCACGGGAGGGGCACGGGAGGGCCACGGGAGGGCCACGGGAGGGCCACGGGAGGGCCACGGGAGGGGCACGGGAGGGGCACGGGAGGGCCACGGGAGGGCCACGGGAGGGCCACGGGAGGGCCACGGGAGGGCCACGGGAGGGCCACGGGAGGGCCACGGGAGGGCCACGGGAGGGCCACGGGAGGGCCACGGGAGGGCCACGGGAGGGCCACGGGAGGGGCACGGGAGGGGCACGGGAGGGCCACGGGAGGGGCACGGGAGGGGCACGGGAGGGGCACGGGAGGGGCACGGGAGGGCACGGGAGGGGCACGGGAGGGGCACGGGAGGGGCACGGGAGGGGCACGGGAGGGGCACGGGAGGGGCACGGGAGGGCCACGGGAGGGGCACGGGAGGGGCACGGGAGGGGCACGGGAGGGGCACGGGAGGGGCACGGGAGGGGCACGGGAGGGGCACGGGAGGGGCACGGGAGGGGCACGGGAGGGGCACGGGAGGGGCACGGGAGGGGCACGGGAGGGGCACGGGAGGGGCACGGGAGGGGCACGGGAGGGGCACGGGAGGGGCACGGGAGGGGCACGGGAGGGGCACGGGAGGGGCACGGGAGGGGCACGGGAGGGGCACGGGAGGGGCACGGGAGGGGCACGGGAGGGGCACGGGAGGGGCACGGGAGGGGCACGGGAGGGCCACGGGAGGGGCACGGGAGGGGCACGGGAGGGGCACGGGAGGGGCACGGGAGGGGCACGGGAGGGGCACGGGAGGGGCACGGGAGGGGCACGGGAGGGGCACGGGAGGGGCACGGGAGGGGCACGGGAGGGGCACGGGAGGGGCACGGGAGGGGCACGGGAGGGGCACGGGAGGGCCACGGGAGGGCCACGGGAGGGCCACGGGAGGGCCACGGGAGGGCCACGGGAGGGCCACGGGAGGGCCACGGGAGGGCCACGGGAGGGCCACGGGAGGGCCACGGGAGGGCCACGGGAGGGCCACGGGAGGGCCACGGGAGGGCCACGGGAGGGCCACGGGAGGGCCACGGGAGGGGCACGGGAGGGGCACGGGAGGGGCACGGGAGGGGCACGGGAGGGCCACGGGAGGGCCACGGGAGGGCCACGGGAGGGCCACGGGAGGGGCACGGGAGGGGCACGGGAGGGCCACGGGAGGGCCACGGGAGGGCCACGGGAGGGCCACGGGAGGGGCACGGGAGGGGCACGGGAGGGGCACGGGAGGGGCACGGGAGGGCCACGGGAGGGCCACGGGAGGGCCACGGGAGGGCCACGGGAGGGGCACGGGAGGGGCACGGGAGGGCCACGGGAGGGGCACGGGAGGGGCACGGGAGGGGCACGGGAGGGGCACGGGAGGGGCACGGGAGGGGCACGGGAGGGGCACGGGAGGGGCACGGGAGGGGCACGGGAGGGGCACGGGAGGGGCACGGGAGGGGCACGGGAGGGGCACGGGAGGGGCACGGGAGGGGCACGGGAGGGGCACGGGAGGGGCACGGGAGGGGCACGGGAGGGGCACGGGAGGGGCACGGGAGGGGCACGGGAGGGGCACGGGAGGGGCACGGGAGGGGCACGGGAGGGGCACGGGAGGGGCACGGGAGGGGCACGGGAGGGGCACGGGAGGGGCACGGGAGGGGCACGGGAGGGGCACGGGAGGGGCACGGGAGGGGCACGGGAGGGGCACGGGAGGGGCACGGGAGGGGCACGGGAGGGCACGGGAGGGGCACGGGAGGGGCACGGGAGGGGCACGGGAGGGGCACGGGAGGGGCACGGAGGGCACGGGAGGGGCACGGGAGGGGCACGGGAGGGGCACGGGAGGGGCACGGGAGGGGCACGGGAGGGGCACGGGAGGGGCACGGGAGGGGCACGGGAGGGGCCACGGGAGGGGCACGGGAGGGGCACGGGAGGGGCACGGGAGGGCCACGGGAGGGGCACGGGAGGGCCACGGGAGGGCCACGGGAGGGCCACGGGAGGGCCACGGGAGGGCCACGGGAGGGCCACGGGAGGGCCACGGGAGGGCCACGGGAGGGGCACGGGAGGGCCACGGGAGGGGCACGGGAGGGCCACGGGAGGGGCACGGGAGGGCCACGGGAGGGGCACGGGAGGGGCACGGGAGGGGCACGGGAGGGGCACGGGAGGGCCACGGGAGGGCCACGGGAGGGCCACGGGAGGGCCACGGGAGGGGCACGGGAGGGGCACGGGAGGGCCACGGGAGGGGCACGGGAGGGGCACGGGAGGGGCACGGGAGGGCCACGGGAGGGCCACGGGAGGGCCACGGGAGGGCCACGGGAGGGCCACGGGAGGGCCACGGGAGGGCCACGGGAGGGCCACGGGAGGGCCACGGGAGGGCCACGGGAGGGGCACGGGAGGGGCACGGGAGGGGCACGGGAGGGCACGGGAGGGCCACGGGAGGGCCACGGGAGGGCCACGGGAGGGCCACGGGAGGGGCACGGGAGGGGCACGGGAGGGCCACGGAGGGGCACGGGAGGGGCACGGGAGGGGCACGGGAGGGCACGGGAGGGGCACGGGAGGGGCACGGGAGGGGCACGGGAGGGGCACGGGAGGGGCACGGGAGGGGCACGGGAGGGGCACGGGAGGGCCACGGGAGGGGCACGGGAGGGGCACGGGAGGGGCACGGGAGGGGCACGGGAGGGGCACGGGAGGGGCCACGGGAGGGGCACGGGAGGGGCACGGGAGGGGCACGGGAGGGGCACGGGAGGGGCACGGGAGGGGCACGGGAGGGGCACGGGAGGGGCACGGGAGGGGCACGGGAGGGGCACGGGAGGGGCACGGGAGGGGCACGGGAGGGCCACGGGAGGGGCACGGGAGGGGCACGGGAGGGGCACGGGAGGGGCACGGGAGGGGCACGGGAGGGGCACGGGAGGGGCACGGGAGGGGCACGGGAGGGGCACGGGAGGGGCACGGGAGGGGCACGGGAGGGGCACGGGAGGGGCACGGGAGGGGCACGGGAGGGGCACGGGAGGGGCACGGGAGGGGCACGGGAGGGGCACGGGAGGGCCACGGGAGGGGCACGGGAGGGGCACGGGAGGGGCACGGGAGGGGCACGGGAGGGGCACGGGAGGGCCACGGGAGGGGCACGGGAGGGGCACGGGAGGGGCACGGGAGGGCCACGGGAGGGCACGGGAGGGGCACGGGAGGGGCACGGGAGGGCCACGGGAGGGCCACGGGAGGGCACGGGAGGGCCACGGGAGGGGCACGGGAGGGCCACGGGAGGGCCACGGGAGGGCACGGGAGGGGCACGGGAGGGCACGGGAGGGCACGGGAGGGGCACGGGAGGGGCACGGGAGGGGCACGGGAGGGCACGGGAGGGCACGGGAGGGCCACGGGAGGGGCACGGGAGGGCCACGGGAGGGGCACGGGAGGGCACGGGAGGGGCACGGGAGGGGCACGGGAGGGGCACGGGAGGGGCACGGGAGGGGCACGGGAGGGGCACGGGAGGGGCACGGGAGGGGCACGGGAGGGGCACGGGAGGGGCACGGGAGGGGCACGGGAGGGGCACGGGAGGGGCACGGGAGGGGCACGGGAGGGGCACGGGAGGGGCACGGGAGGGGCACGGGAGGGGCACGGGAGGGGCACGGGAGGGGCACGGGAGGGGCACGGGAGGGGCACGGGAGGGGCACGGGAGGGGCACGGGAGGGGCACGGGAGGGGCACGGGAGGGGCACGGGAGGGGCACGGGAGGGGCACGGGAGGGGCACGGGAGGGCACGGGAGGGGCACGGGAGGGGCACGGGAGGGGCACGGGAGGGGCACGGGAGGGGCACGGGAGGGGCACGGGAGGGGCACGGGAGGGCCACGGGAGGGGCACGGGAGGGGCACGGGAGGGGCACGGGAGGGGCACGGGAGGGGCACGGGAGGGCCACGGGAGGGCCACGGGAGGGCCACGGGAGGGGCACGGGAGGGCCACGGGAGGGGCACGGGAGGGCCACGGGAGGGCCACGGGAGGGCCACGGGAGGGCCACGGGAGGGCCACGGGAGGGCACGGGAGGGGCACGGGAGGGCCACGGGAGGGCCACGGGAGGGCCACGGGAGGGCCACGGGAGGGGCACGGGAGGGGCACGGGAGGGGCACGGGAGGGGCACGGGAGGGGCACGGGAGGGCCACGGGAGGGGCACGGGAGGGGCACGGGAGGGGCACGGGAGGGGCACGGGAGGGGCACGGGAGGGCCACGGGAGGGGCACGGGAGGGGCACGGGAGGGGCACGGGAGGGGCACGGGAGGGGCACGGGAGGGCACGGGAGGGCCACGGGAGGGCCACGGGAGGGCCACGGGAGGGCCACGGGAGGGCCACGGGAGGGCCACGGGAGGGCCACGGGAGGGCCACGGGAGGGCCACGGGAGGGCCACGGGAGGGGCACGGGAGGGGCACGGGAGGGGCACGGGAGGGGCACGGGAGGGGCACGGGAGGGGCACGGGAGGGGCACGGGAGGGGCACGGGAGGGGCACGGGAGGGGCACGGGAGGGGCACGGGAGGGGCACGGGAGGGCACGGGAGGGGCACGGGAGGGGCACGGGAGGGGCACGGGAGGGGCACGGGAGGGGCACGGGAGGGCCACGGGAGGGGCACGGGAGGGGCACGGGAGGGGCACGGGAGGGGCACGGGAGGGGCACGGGAGGGGCACGGGAGGGGCACGGGAGGGGCACGGGAGGGCCACGGGAGGGCCACGGGAGGGCCACGGGAGGGGCACGGGAGGGCCACGGGAGGGCCACGGGAGGGCCACGGGAGGGGCACGGGAGGGCCACGGGAGGGGCACGGGAGGGGCACGGGAGGGCCACGGGAGGGCCACGGGAGGGCCACGGGAGGGCCACGGGAGGGCCACGGGAGGGCCACGGGAGGGCCACGGGAGGGGCACGGGAGGGCCACGGGAGGGGCACGGGAGGGCCACGGGAGGGCCACGGGAGGGCCACGGGAGGGGCACGGGAGGGCCACGGGAGGGGCACGGGAGGGGCACGGGAGCGGCACGAGAGGTGCAAGGGAGGGGCACGGGAGAGACAGGCGAAAGACTCACTGCAGCGCAATCCCATCAGCGCTGGCCGCCACGGCTCCTCCCGCTCTCGGCACCAACTCCGCACGGAGCGCGTGCACCACAGACGGCATCACCAGCGCGCCCGCCGTCACGCCCGCCGCACCGCGAAGCACCGCTCCTAACCCCACGCCTGCTGCCTCTCTCTCTGCGGGTATTCTCCTGTCCGCTGTCCGCCGCAAGTCGCTACCGCCAGCGCCGCCTGCCGTCTCGCACAGGCTCGTCTCTAAATTCGTCTCTACAGTCGTCGCTACATTCGTTCCCATGCTCGTGTCTGCGCCGCACGTCCTCCCAGAGACGTTGCCTGCAACGCCAGGTGAAGCTGACGCGGGCTCCGATGCACCCATGGCGTGCTGCTGCGGAAGCCACTAACGCCGCCGTGTCTTGCGCCGTGCCGTGCTACTATGTTGGCTATTAGTGCCGCGGGACGAAGATCAGCGAACGGCCGCTAAGAGGAGCTACGACTGCGCGACAGCGGGCGTCGCGCGAGCGCCGATCGTACTAAGATCCAGTTTACTGACGGTGGCGTGACACGGTGCGTCCCGTTGCTCACGCGGTCCTTACGAACACGATTTTTTTGTCGATCCAAAATCGCCCTCGTCAAGCATTCACCCGGTGATACATCGAACGCAGAGAGAAGCGCGCTCGGAGCGTGAGGTGACGGTGATGGTTCGATTGTTTTTTTCAAGGGAATCGATGTATGTCTATGTTAGTGAATAGAACAACGCGATAAGGAGAACATAGCGTTTGACTGATCCACGAAAGGATGGCTGCTGTGCCCAGGCCAATCCCAATTTCTCATGCCGACTCACGCCCACGCGGTCATCACCTCTAACCAGTGTGGCAATGACGCAAACGCGTGGCTTTCGTTTGGCTTATCTGTGGCTGCTACTATACTACTTGCCAAAGGTAGGATTCAAGAGCAACTCAACGAGTGGAACGAGTGGGTAGATATGGTAAAGGAAGACGAAAACAGTTCGACAAGGGCAGTTCAGCGTGATTAGGAACCGAATTGTTCAGCAATCTGTAAGCCTGTAGGCTCTATTTGCAGCACCAAATGCTCTCATCAACTAGCCAATCGCTTTATGTAAAGAGCACGTGAGGCCAAGAAGCTAGAGATCTCGACTAGAGCCATGGCGCGCATACAGGGCTGTGTACGGGTATGCTGGTGGGGGCTGGCGGGATGGATGTGAGCTGGAAAGAGCAGGAACAAGGGGGGAGTCGGGACGCACGCAGGGTTTGGAGGGGAGGCGCAATCATTGGACCCGCCCCGCCTGCCCCCAAGCTAAGCGCTCCGCATGTGTATTTTGGAGCGCGACAGCCCTGCCAGCTCTGCGGCAGGCGGAGAATGCTCTGGTTCTGGTTTGCTGGTCTGGTCTGCTTTTGCCGCTTGCGCGCTTTCCGTCCCGTTCCGCGGCAGGTCGCATGTGTGGCGCGTTTCCCCAAGCATGGGAGGAGAGGAGAGAAACGCTTTGGCGGGAACTGCAGTTATTCCGCTCTTCCTGGAACCCCGTTACGCGCACATGCCTCGCATGCGCCAACAACCCTCCAGGGTTCTCCTCCACCATGTGCGCAGGAGTGGGGGTCCGCCGCCTCTTACCCAACATCGCTCCATTCATCGAACCTGCAGCGGTGCACCCCAAACCAGTCACCCCTGGCAGCGTGATTTGGACCGCCGTCCGGTCTGCCCTTACCTAAAGACTGGTCCGAGTGGATCGTGTCTTGTGGGCCATCCATGTAGCACGTTCAAGATTGCAGGTTTGGTTGGGAACCACGGCAGTTTCTATCAACGAGCCCTCCTGCAACCTTCTTGAAGGTCACTTATCATAGCCTGTTGTGGGCTTTATCTTTTAACGCGTATTCAGGTTGAGATCTTCTAGTCAAGTCCCATGGAGCTGGGAAACTTAGAAGATGACTCCTAGTCAAGTCCCATGGACCCAAACCTTGTGTTTTCAGTGCTTATGTGCCTGGTAAATTTACTACTAAACTGTAATATGTATATTTTTGTCGTTTCCAGATGTATCATATTTGAAAACATCATATTCATGTCTTTGTGTTTGCCATGGTTACAAGGGGATTTGAAGCGGTCAACGTATGTGTTGTTTTCGTAATATATAAAATGTACAGTGGATACACACAATGATTGTCAAGCATTTGCAGTAACAGGGGATGAATCACAAAAGCAGAGATGCAAGACCACACATGGAGATAAAGTCTTACATAGAGATGTCAAACTTATAACATAGCCGAGATCGTTGCGGCGGCGTCCTACGAAGCTGGTGGAAGTTCATGAGTTTGGTAAAGCAATATCATGACCAAAGAAAAACTTCGTTCGAGATACTTGGTATTGATAGTAAACAAACTTTAAAAATAGTTTTCGTCATTGTAAAAAAAAATAGCATCTTTCATACTATTTTTGTTAAACATTTTTGTTATGCTAAATTGCTTGGTCTGAGGTACTTTGTAGTGAGTATAATATTGTTTGTGTGAACTGTGTATGCCTTTCTGATATTTTCTTATAGTTCTGGACGAGTTTTCCCACTATACCATGGTATTTCCGTTGCAGCGAAAGGTCGACGTGCCTGATGCTCTTCTCCTGTATATCTTGGCCGTCCACACCCAGCTAGGCCTTCCTGTGTTTCGTCTGCACTCTGACCAGGGTAGCTAGTTCACCTCCAGCCCGGTTGAGCAGTTTGTCGCGCACAGGGCATCCGTCAGTCGTTCACGCATCCGGACTCGCCGCAGCTAAATGGGATCGCTGAGCGTCACATTGGCCTGATCATAGAGACCGTTTGATCGTCATCTCCTCCTCTTCTCCCTGACCAATCTCGTATCTCTTCCTCCTGGACTACTCGTCGTGACCCTCGTGCTCGTCCCTCATCATCTGTTCATGCCTTTCACTCTCTGGGCCTTCGTTCTTCTCCCGCTCGTGTCTCGTTTCCTGTCCTCCCCTCTCCTCCTTAGTCGTCTCTCACAGTTTCCCCTTTTCCGTTCTCTTATTTCCCCCGTGCCGCTCGTCCTACGGTCTCCCGCGTCATTTCTTCCCTTGTCAGCGAGCATACTGCTCCTCCCTCATCGGTCTAGGCTCTTGTCGCTGCTGTCACTGACTTATGCCGCCAGCCACCGCCTTGACTAAGCATCTCGGTTTGGTCTCTGAAGCTGCCCGTCCTCCGTCCGTTGGGGGTGCACCTGCCATTGGCAATGACGTCCTAGAGGACAAGCAGTTGGAGCTGGCTTTCCTTGCAGCCGCTACTCCTCGTCTCTGTGCCATTCCGCTAGCCCCTTAGGTTGACCCAAACAATTTTGACATCCCAAGTCCTCCCACCTACACCGAGGCAGTCTTGGGTGAGTGGGTAGCTGTTAACGGGAGTGAAGTGTTGGCCCCGCCCTCGCTTGGGCAACGCCGACGACTTGGTCGGATGTACGGGAGTAGCAACCGACCATCCACAGTGGGAGAGCTGCTCGACAGGCTTCGTCGAGCTGCAGGGGACCGCCGTGGTGTTGCTGTCGACCAGGGAGCTCGACAGCGGCAACTGACTGGTCTGGGCGACGGGTGGGCTGTCGACCAGGAGGGGCTGTAGGGGCTGTTCGACCGGGAGGTCGACGGAGCTGTCCGTCGACCTGAGAAGTGAGCAGCGGTCAACGAGGGGGGCTCGTCAACAACAGCTGACAGTTCTGGTCGATGGAAGGGGTCCGTCGACCAGGGGGTAGCTCGACGGGAGTTGTGATCGACCAGAGGGACCCGGTGGTCGACCAGAGGCACTTGGGGTTGTCCAGGTCGACCGGGTAACCTACTCGGCGAGCTCTGCGGAGGCACGCAATCATCGTCCAGGTCGCAATGGCGAAGGCGACTTCGGGTTGGTATCCCGAAGTCGATGTGGCTCGTTAGCCGCAGACAACAGCCGACGAATGCACAACGGTGCAAGTCGGGCCAATCGTCTGTGCACATCTGCGAGCGTGTGCACTGCTGTCTTCTACGGGGCAACACTGGACAGTCGCTCTGCTGCAGCGTTGGCACACCGTCGACCTGCTGTGTTGGCAGGTCTCCTTTCTGCAGTGCTGGCGCGGCTCCTCTACGCAACGTTGGCAGGCGGTCGACCATGCTGTGCTGTCTGTCGACCAGGCTAGCTGCAGGATTGCTAGGTGCCTGATGTAGTCATTGTTGTCATTGCTTGTTAAACAATTGTGGGATTCCAAATTTGCTAGTGGAAACTCTTGCCAATTTCTCCCGTGATTGTGCAAGCACTAAGGAACTAGGCAAAGCTTCGATCACTCCCAGTAGTTCGTGCCAACCCCCGTAGTCTAGCTCACTACCGTTCTAGAGTGAATCTCCGCAGTAGCAACCATGGACGCAGAGTTGACAACTTGGAGGTCCATAGGCACCTACATCGATGCTATTCCCCCTCCTAGGCCGAACGTAGTCGATGACATGTGGATATGGATGGTGAATCGGCCACCTGGATTGCCGCCTGTCTTCAAGGTGCGCCACCTGGCGAGCGGCTTTAGTCAGAAACGGGGTAGACTTCTTTCGAACATTCTCCCCCACCTCGAAGATCTCCACTCTTCAGGTGTTGTTGCACATTGCAACTCAGTATGACCACAAGCTCCATTCACTGGAATTCTCCACTGCGTTCCTTCAGGGCAGTCTTCGTGAGCAGATCGGGCCACGCTGCCCTCCTGCTTTCACTGGGTCGTTCCCTCCTGGCACCCAATAGAGCCTTCGGTGGCCTATCTACGGTCTGCGCCAGGCTCTACGCGAGTGGCACGACACGTTACGGACTACAATTCCTGCTCTGAGATTCTCTCGGTCCTCTCCTGACCCTTCTCTCTTTGTCCACTCTGGTTTGATGTCGTTCTACATCTTTGTCTATGTCGACGACCTCGTCTTTGCTACTCCCAATAGTGCTACTCTGGCCTCAGTGAAGGCCAAGCTATAGAACAGACATATCTGCACTAACCTGGGTGAGATGCATTGCTATCTTGGCTTGTAGATCACAAGGACAAAGCAGCGCGCTCCATCACAATGACTTAAGGCACACATGGTGCAGCAAATCCTCGAGCGGTTGGACTTCCGGTTCTCTTCTCCTCAATCTATACCTCTTGCTGTTATCCAAGGCCCATGGCT